GACTCCAAGTGCTGTGGATAGGTGACTTAGTGTGGATGGTGTGAATGAGTAAGAGTTATTTTTATATAAACTGCTAAGTTTGCCTCAGTTATACATATACTATGCAATAAACCTTGGTTTGTTGAACCCATGTGTTGGTCATTTATCCAACTACAGTACACAATCACAAGTCACAAAAATATTTTTGGTAATAAAATTAAAATATATTATGATTTGTTTTTTTTCCCCTGGTTCTAAGATGGCAACCCCCCCACTCCCAAAAGGAGTCTTTGGGGGGAGTGTGGGGAGCAAGGGAAAAAAGGACTTCTGGTGGCAAATGTCAGTCCTTTCAAAGTTTTCTTTAGTTGAGGGTTGCATGGGATCATATCAGGTGAATATAGAGGCTGCAGCACTTGTGAGACGACTTTTTTTCTCTTCCCTCGCCTAAAGAAAATCTTGAAAGGAAGAAGATTTTGTAATGTAGAAACCATAAAACAAAACGTGACTGAGCAGCTTTTAGCAATTCCACAAACTGCTTATCAGAGGTGCTTCCAACAATGGCAGAAACGCTGGGAGAAGTGTGTGGCTGCAGAAGGAGCATACTCTGAAGGAGATTAAGCTGAAACTCCTGTAAATAAAATATTCTGAGTTGATATTTTGAACCACCCTTGTATGCTTCTTCTACCCAGACCAACCATAACAAACCCATATTAATATCCCTAATATAGTAAATACCCCTGGCTAAGCATGACACCTATGCTCTGCAAGAAGATGGAAAGACCTCTCTCTGTATGCCATTTCATTATTTAGTTTATGGCAACACAATCAAAGCGACTCCAAGACACTATTGTTGTGTCCCTCATGGCTAGGATGACCACACAGAAATCCGCGACATCATCTGGGAAATCTGTAACACAGCCTCCCTCCCTCCGCCCCCGCTGGCCTCATGTTCTTATAAATCGTGGGGGTGCGGCTGTGTGCTGGGCAAGCAGCAGTGCCTGTCTGTCCGCTTGCAAGATGCTCCAAGCTGCTTGGACTCCCAGCTAGACTGCGACCCACACCCCTGCACTTCAAGGACTCTCATAATTCCTAACAGCCTGAAATCCATGACTGTCCCAGCTAATTTGGGACATAATTCTACTCATGAACATCACAAGGCTGAAGCACAGTCTTACCAATAATTTCCTGAGGACTTCAGAACAACAGAGGTATTTGGCCTGGGGGGAAACTCTGCAACCCAGCTGGATTCTCAGTCATAGCTGCCTTTATTGTGATTCTTTGACATACAAAAGCCTGAACTACAAGTAATACAGAAATTCAAAATTGACTTTTTGGGGCTATAACTTATGACTCCATCACACTGCACATTCTGGGCACAGCAGCAAGAGGGTTTTTTGGAAATGCTTTTCAACAGTTTGCTTTGACAATCTACCATAGAAAAGAGAATTGGAAAATAGCTGGCAACTACTTTTCTGAAGTATCTGAACAGCTAGAGGTGGTCTTGTCGCTGGCATCGCATGACTGAGCTCCCGGGGCAAAGGCAGCAGGGCACAGAACCCCAAGTCTGCAGTGGGCAACCTGCCTCTGCCCCCCCTGGGGGTGTGCATAGTTCAGGGAGTCACCTCCCTCCTCCCAGCACCTCTAGATGATCTGCCCTGGGGCCCCATTCATTGCAGCCCTTGCTCCTCTCTCTCTCTCTCTCCCTCCCTCCCTCCTCCAGAGATCTGAGGGTTCGATCGGGAGATCATGAGTTGGAATTATTTCGACTTAGAAATCCTGAGTCTTGTTATGTTTTCCCAACAGTTGGCATTACTGGAGTATACAAGAAAATGCCCCTCAAGATCTCCTCACCAGGCAGCACATAAGGCTAGGATTTGCATTGTTACAGTGAACTAAATGGTACATAAAGTAGTGCTGCCTGAGTTTAGCAAATTGTCGAATTAATTGGTCCCCTGTGACCATTTTACTTGAAAAATTACAGACTGGCTATGGAACAATAGCTACAACAACAAACATGGCACAGCACATCAGAGAGCAAGTGCAGAAAACAAGCAGTCAGGGCAAACTGGGCAACCATGTCTAGTGCCAGATTCAGGCTCCGTAATAAACAAATTAGACTACACTGGCAAACTTTCAGCCAACACCATATTAGCTACCATGGATATTACATATCTGTATACCAACATCACCCATGAGGACAGATTACAAGCCACAAAAAACATTATCCCTTATGATAATGACACTGCTTTTGTTTCCACTGCATTCTCCCCTCCTGCTTTGTCTTCCTATACAACTAGTTCAGATTTGGAGATTCTCTGTACCTATAAATGAAAGGTACTCCCATAAGTACATGCATGGCACTCGAAAATGCCCATATATTCATGACAGGCTTTAAAGTCCACTTCCTCTATAGCTGCTCTCTCATTCTCCTGGTATATCTAAGATATAGTGATGACATCATCGTATGGACACATGGGAAGGAGTCTCAAAAGAAATTCCATTAGGCCTTTAACTACTCCCATTCCTCCATCAAACCAACTCTTGAATACTCCATCCAGAATATTCATTTATTGGAAACCATTATAAAATTTTGCAATGCTCAGAGCACCATCCCATTATATTGGAAACCAACTGACCACTACAGCTGTCTCCACACCACCAGCTTTCATTCTAAGCACACCACAAGATTCATTGTCTACACGCAAGATCTACAGTACAACTATATCTGGTCTGATCCCACTGACTGAAATGCATACATCAGATCTGGAGCAGGGATTCCTACACCTATAATTAGGGGTCTACCTAAATTGTGGGGGGACTTAGGAATTTTCATGGGTTGATTGCAGCAGCGTAAAGCTCTAATTCCACGGTCACTTCATGGTGGCCCCACCTCTTGGAGCTAACTGGCAGAGGGGGAAGGGGAGAGGGAAGAAGAGGGAGCAGCTACCATCTTGATTGCTGGCTGCCCTTTCACTGGCACAGAAGAGGAGGGATGACGGGAGGGGAGGGATGAGGGGGCAGTGGCCATCTTGTCTGTTGCCCTTCAGGTTGCCCTGTCAGCTGGTACTTTCCCCTCCTGGCAGTGAGGACCACTGACTCCCACTGGGGACCCAGAATTTTATTTTTATTAATGTGGGTTTTTTTGGGTGCTTTTGTGGACAATCCCAGATTTCGTGGTTTCTGTGAAATCAGCGAAACTGCAAATTAAGTAGATCCCAACTTATAATAGGATCCAAAACTATAGCCACTCCAATCAACAGAGCCAGACTTAGATTCCATTCTGACCTGCTAGAACAGCAACCCCACGACAAGGAAAAAAAATAATCTTCTCACCTACAGCCACCAGTTTAAACACATCAGACATCATTAATGGTCTCCAACCCTTTCTGGAAAATGACAACCATCTCTAGGCAGCCTTGGGGGACAAGCCTGTCCCAGCTTATAGGCAGCCCTCAACCTCAAAAAGCTTCCCTCCAGCAACAGACTACCTAACTCCTATTCTCACCAAGTTACCAGGCCTTCCAGCCGATGCCAGCTGTACTCCTTTCTCATCAACACAGACCATATAATCACTGGACCAAATAACTGAGATTATAGTAACACCCAGAGTCATTTACCTGTTCCTCTACCACTGTCATATATGTCATCACCCATTTTCAGTGCCCCTTAACTGTTTACATTGAACAGACAGGGCGATCCCTATATAAAAGAATGATTGGACACTGATGTGACCAATTCCACAAAGACACAAAAGCCTGTATATAAACACATTTTAACCTCCCTGGACATACCATAATTGGCCTCAGACTAGCTGTTCTTAAACAACAAAACTTTTAAACAATGCTATTCCTTTCTATTTAGTACCCTTGCTCTCTGCAACTCCATTCATAGCATCTGACGAAATAGACTGAAAATACAAGGTGTTACTTCATTTCTGCATAATAAAAGTATTTAATACACATCTTATTTAGCACGGCAACCACCCTTGTGAGAAAAAAAAGTGCAGCAGTGCTAGTGAAGCGCAAGGAAGAGAAGTGACTTCCTTGCATTTATACAATGAATTCCTGGCAAGGATGGAAATAGAATCAAGGTCTCTTACTCCAGATATCTGCTGCATCCATCAGACTAGCCTGCTGATTAGCTGAGCATGCCATAGCCCAGGAAAACTGCATTTCTCCTTCCCCATTCTTCCTTCCACTCAAGCCAGCCTTCAAGTTAAATGGTTAGCACTGCGTAAGTATGCATTTCCAAAAGCCAAAGCACCTGAGCATAGTGAAGACATGTAGGAAGGAGGACATTGTCAGACTGTGAGGGTGCACCACTGGAATACACTTGGAACATATTCAGATGTCCAACAATTTGTCTGTGATACTTTTTCAGTCCTGAAAGGGTCTATTGGTAACAGGAATTCCCTTGTCAGCTCACTGGCTCTTGCAGCTCATTCTTACACTACTCTTACACTAACATTCCTGAATTTTGCTGCATCACCACTTAGCATTGTGGATTTTAAGGGAGAACCTGAACTGAAGAGATAGGCTGGTCAGCACATAATAAAACAGCAGCTGGAAAGAGGGAGGGTGGAAAGCTGGCAACAGGAGCTGCTTCTCTAAATTGAGATTTTCAGTTCTGCTCAGTGACATCTTCAAAGACTTGGATTGAGATTGTGTTTTTCAGGTCCAGTTTAGCTTCAATGTGTCACCCCAGACCAGCACTGCTTTCCACCTAGACCAAGAGTCAGCAACCTATAGTATGGAGAGTCATTTTATCTGAGCCAGGGGGACTTCTAAGGCATTTTGGCAGTTGGGGCTTTTCTTGCACGGCAGAAGCACTGTTAGGGGACACAGTTATGGTGGTGCTATAGACTAGGTTGTAAGTGGCCCTTGCTTGGAGCTAAACTAATTAAGCAAAGCCCCTCCTCCCTCTGCCCTGTTGCACAATGTTGTTGACCCCCTGACCTAGATCATTCATTGTTTTGTGTACAAAGGCTGTCAACAGGTACCCTGTAGCTGCATCCTGCTTACCTGACAGTTAAAGTCCTGAAAGTTTCTGGAAGCATTCTGTCAACAAAAAATAAGACAGAATCAGTATTCAGCATGATTTCTCCAAAACAACTGAAAAATTCAGCATCAGAACTAATGTGAGGGGCACCTCTTGGAGGGCTATGCTCCATCACGTCAATCTGGTCTGCCAGTACTCCACCAGAAAACAAGCTAACAAAAGAAAGGATTGGCACCACACAGAAAAGTCTTTGGAGATCCATCGATTCATAGAACTGTGTGGATTAACCTGTGGCTCACTAAGCTTCGGGATAGAGATACACGTAAAACATTTTAAATCCCACCTTTATTTGAAATGCATAAGGACCACATAAACATACAGACCCCTCCTAACAAATGCACTTCAAAATATGTTGGAGCCAATGCTGTTGTGCTGCTTCACAGCTAGGGTCTGGAGAGCAGAGTTCTACAACTGAATCAGCTGTCTGGGAAGTGTGCTGCATCACCCAGAAGGAGTTAGCATCACAGCTCCTCTGCCTCTCCAAACCACAGCCACCTTTGCCCATACAGGATTTCAGAATTGCACTGGAGTCATCAACAGCATGCATATTGTATTCCTGTGTCCTCTAAGGTATGATATACACAAGCCAGAAAGGGTATTTTTCCATTGTGCTGCAGAGCATTCATATATGGGAATACTGGGTGGTTGGTCAAGGTCTTTGAGATAGATACTGTGAACTTTGGCCTGCTGCCTTTAGGACAAATGGAGCATTTGGTGGCAGTGCTTCCAGCATGGAACTAGAAGGAATGACTATTTCACAGCTTCTCCCATGACTCACAAAGTCCTACACTAGTCACCTGAATGCCAGGAAGGAGCTGTTTAACAAGCTGCTGAACAGTTACCTATTGACTAGGGGATACACCTTTTGACTACATCAAGACACAGCAGAGATAGTGTGTCTGAAAGTTAGTAAGCAGTACCTATTCTGGATGGCTGTTTTAGCCTGTGTGCTGCATAACGGTTTGATAGACCAAGGGAAGTGGAACCCCAGAAGATTTCCAGCTGGTATCAGGCCCCAGAAACTGAGCCTCTTAAGCACCACAACTGTTGGGCTGTTCTTTTGAGAGATGCTCTGGTGAACTATTCCAACCATTTTATGCCACATGGCAGGACAAAGACTGGTGCCTTCAACTGAAGTTTATGTCAATTCACTGAAAAATTATTTCAGGAAAAAGAGTCTTTATTAAATATTACAAGTATTCAAACGCTGTGTCCTGTGATCTTGAAAGAAAATGCTTTGCAAACTGGGGTAGGGCATGCTAGGGGTGGTTTATGATCTCAAAGAAAGATAAAATATTCTGAAGATGGCTTGCAGGCAGCTGTGCCTTGCAGGTCAGACTTGTAATGCCCCTGGGGATGGGGTGAGGGGTCAGTGGGAAGGAGGAGTCTTGGGAGCGGAGTGTGTCAGTGTCACTGTGCAGAGGGACTGAAGAGCTGCTTTCCCTGGATGAGTGCTGCTGAAGACTCTGTGATGTGGAGAGGAGCTGATCCAGGCCCCACAACTCCAAACACTCCTGGAAGGACAGCACTCTAAAGCTTCTACCTAGGCTGGTGAAAAGGTTATGTGACCTTACAGCAGAAAAGGCTGGCAATAGAACTGAATGACAGACAAGGTTGGGGGACTGTGACAGTGCCTGAGAAGGCTTGAGACCTGTTCACAGTATGGCTAAAACAACCTGAGGAAGGTTTGGGCATGAAATGGAAGGGGCTGGGATTAGGCCTGAGCCAGGAGAGCCAGAGGAACTCTTGGGGTCATGGAGAATGGAGGTGTGTCTCTGTAGAGGAAGTTGTTTGGGACATGCTGGATGCCCTGGCTGAGGTTGCAAATACAGACCCCTGACCGGGAGGGGGGGGGGAAGAGCTCCACCCTCAGGTGGGAGGGAGAGATGCATGTCTGTTGAACAAAACAGAGCATGGCTTGGAAGTTCTTCATATGCCTGTTGAAGGTGGCTATGAAAATCCAGTGTCCCTCTCCATATGAAGCTTCTCCATCCACATCTCCATATTGTTTTCCCATGCCACAGCTTCATCGTTCTTCCTCCTTGCTCTTCTTCCTTATCCTCCTCAGCCTGACAATTCACTGAGCTGCAGTCACATGCAGAGACCTTGGAACCTAAACAGCAACACCAGTAAGAACAGTGACAGCTGTGGGTGTTGACCCTAGAAAAACAGTAGGCAAGGAATCTTTATTACATGACCTAGTGATAAATGAATTCCGAAATAAAATTTTTGCATTCCGTCTTGAAAGCCTCATCACATTTGATCTAGTTGCCCTACATGGTAAACACATCTGCCTCAAGATGCTGGGATGGGAATCAAACCTCATTTGCCAACCACAAGCACTCAGGATGCTTCTGTTGACCCCAAGATATAGGATCAACCTGATAAAGGTGCCTTTTACTTGGACTGCCCAGATTCTGGGGTTGACTGGAGAGTTGGGTACTTTGGTTGACCCTCGAATCCCAGAGGTTCTTGATATTTTCTTCAGTTTTACAGATCATGATCACGTGAGGGCCTGTGACCCTCCTGCATGTGTCATCTGCAAGACATACCAGCTATATGCCACGGTGGAGGGAAGCCCTGCAGCCTACTTTCTTTTATTGCTGGAGATATGCAAGTTATGGTAACTCAGAAAGAAAAGGGTAACCTTTCAACATCAGAGCAAGGCTACGTGAGTACTTTACCCCAGGACACCAGGTAATAATAAGGCACTCTATAGCCAGCTTCCTGGAATATCTTCAGCACCCATATGGAGAAAACTAACTGCAAGGAAGATATGAATGAATGGACAAAACACAGGCCTTATCTGCATGCTCTAAAAAGTGCAAATTACCCTAGCCCATTACCTTCTTCCCTTTTTCACATGACCTACCAGTGCTTTTCTGCCCATTTGGCTATGTAGTTTCTGTTACAAACTTCATTTCTGAAAGGACTCAAGTCTGCTGTTGCTACAGGGATACATGAGTGGTGGGGATGAGGGGGGGGGGAAGGGTGCATATGGCACCACAGGCAAGCTCTGGTAAATGCTCCTTCCACCTAGAACCTAGCTGCATTGCTTGAACTTGTCTATATTTGCAACTACAAACACTACTTTGGCTAAAAGGTCTTTTTTTTCCTTCAAGTTGCCTTCCCAGGGAACTTTGTACATTTCTTAGAGTATTGAAGGATGGTGAGGGAAAAGTGTCTGTGATCCCAAAGCCAGCACAGAGGAAAACAAGGGGGTGCAAACAGGATGATGGGGCACATTGAGGGTTGAGGTCCTGCCAGTCCAGAGATTGGAGTAGGGAAGGGAGGAGCAACTCCATTCTTACACCTAGACATAACATCAACAGAAGGGCAGAGGCATGGGCATGCAAAAGTTAGCTTGGGCTCTGAGTTGGGAGGGTCCTGTCAATCAGCAGTTGGAAAAGGGGAGGGAGAAGCACAACCACTTCAAAAAAAAAAAAAAAAAAAAAAATCAAGCAGGTTTGACTTCTCCCCTAAGAAGTGGGCACATAATCATGTATGATGGGAGAAACTGGGGGGAAGGAGGGTGGGGAAGAGGAGGACATGACCTCCTATGGATTGGCAGCCCCTCAGGTTTACAGGGGGGGGGGGGGGGGGGGGGGGGAGCGCAAGAGATAAACTGTCAATGGCAAAAGTGACAACCATTACAAGGAGAGATATAACAGAGTGATGATGCAAATTATCATGGACTGAATGACTCAAAACAAGTCTCTTAATGGCCTCAGTTGTTACTGTCAAAAGAACCCTACCTTCCCAGGGTGCATGATGGATAGGACTCTCTTGGCAACCCTATTGGCCTGTGGCTGAAACTGACAGTCAATTCCCTTACAGCAGACCACAGTAGGCTATGTTAGCAGTTTGGCCTTCTAGTGGCCCAGGGTATAGGAACAATCCCCTAAAGCCCAGGAAATAGGAACAAATTCCCCAAGCTCACTGACTACCCCACAGGCTGCCTGTAGCTACTTTTGTCCTCTCCTTGTGGCCAATATTGGGCTTCCCCTTCTGTTCTGACTATCTTGATACCATGAATCTGCAAGTGGACATTTGCAGGTCCAGGCATACACCAGGGTTTGTTCAAAGCAGGGCACTGGGTGCCTTTGACTGTTTGGAGAGTGGAAGAGAGGGGGTAGTGATGCTGCCAGAGTGAGGGTTACACTGTTACTTACCAGTTAGTTTGGTGTCTGGCCATGTAGGCATTCCCTCCAAACAGCTGGTCTGGGTGCTGAGAAAATGAGGGCAGGGTAATCAAATGAGAAAATGACAGGAAGGTCACATGGTCCTTCCTGATGTCAGTGCCATCCAAGCTGTCCTGTCCCAATGGCTGCTATATCTCCTGCTTGGCAGTCCCCCCTAGAATGGATTTCTTAGGATCCTCCTGAGCCTGAGTTGGAGCCAGAGCTGGAACCTAGTCCTTATCTTCTGTATCTTTGCTGTCAGGTGGCTTTGGGCTCATCCCAGAATTGGCAATGAAGTGTGGTTCTATAGAATCACCACCCACAAGTATCTGATAGAGTTCTTCACAGTAAAGGCATTTCACCCCCCAACAGGCACCTGAGATTCAGTTGACATTACAAGTTCTTCCGTACTATGTTTTGACATTTGGCTTGGGTCTGGGACTGCTGACAATCCTGGTTGTTCCTGTGAGCTGACATATATGCTGTGATCTGTTCATATATGATCTGTGGTCTGGTTCTAATGGCTCTTGATAGACTGCTGGGTACTCTCCTCATCCCAGATAGAGAAAGGAGGTCCAGGACCTCCAGTAGGTAAAACAGACATTGCAGAGGAAGATAAAAGTACCTTGGAATGAGTAATGGTGGAATACCCTACCCATAAGGGCCAGGTAATTGAAGAGCATTTAGTTTCTGATCATCTGATGGTTACACCTGCTGTTACCATTTGAATGGAGAATTCTTTAAAGAAATATTGCTAATTCTTAGCTGAAAAAATTCTCCGTTTCCCTTACCTCCTAAATGACACAAAATCCATTTCT